TTGCTTGAGGTAAATGCTATGTCGTCATAACTTTGCATGCATCTGCAACCGCTAGATTGGTGACAAAGCTCCTAATGATATCTGAAAGAGCAATGACCATCCAGACTTAAGTTCATTTTTGCAAGTGATAATTGTAGTTTTTAAAATTCTTATGATATTCCAAGAGTATAAAATCACAGTTTGTACAAAAGTTTATCGTATACATATTTACTGTATTTAAATATATTTTTTTTCAATTTTTGAAATACTTCAATGTACTATCAAGAAATTTGTGTTAAAACGAAACATTTCTCCGCACCGATCTTGCATCTCAAAACAGAACTTCCTGTGTGTTCGGTCAACTCTGTTGAATTTGCTTCAGTCTCAATTAGTAGGTGTTTGTGGTTTGTCTTGGGGAGAACGCGGAAGCATGGAAATTTTACGCGACAATGTGGTGATGGGTACAGCTTTGATGCAAAATTGATTCGTGTGACATAGTAAGCACACTGGCAGTAAAATATTGCAACATCTCCGCACTCAGAACGAAAGAGCAGGAGCTAGTTGATGATGCCCCAAGGTACCAACATGGTAGGCCTCTCATCAACGAGGCGAAATGGCTCCGGAACTCTATACCTCTGCAGGAGGAGGCGATTCGAATCAGGTTGACTCCGTGATAAGGCCGGTGTTGGTATTCTGACAAAACCTAACCTGACTGAGAGAGTGGCTCAATGGTAACCTGTCAGCAGAAGAGTAAAAATTTTCCAACTGAAGCTACAACGGGCTAAAGCTTTGAAATTGCTACGCGTCTGTGCTTCCAAATTTGAGGAAGAATATGAGTACTTCCTGGAGGAAGTGGCAGATGTTCTGAACGGAGTACCGACTACAGTCAATCATTCTAATCGGCGATTTCAATGTGCATATTGCAGCAAACACAAAAAGTTGGAAAAGGATGATTGCGAAGAACGGCCCAAGAGGTCTCAAGAATAACGGCGAGTAGTTGTTGCGATTTTGTGCAAATGCCATACAGTCTGTTATGGACATCTTCATGAATTGAAATGTGCAATGGTTTACCTCGTATGATGAAGATTGTGCAAGACGACGAAGATCGACCTGATGCTTGTATCATTTGACTTACGGTCCTCTGTACTGAAAATTCGCAAATGAAAGAGCAGAGCTGTCAATCGCTCATCACCTTGCTGTTGGGACCCTCCGCTGCAAGCGATGGGTATGTACCTTGCGAATACACGTTGGTAAAATCTTCAGACACCATCGGTCTGAACAGATCCGTGTTAATCGCTGAAGGAGAGACTGAAGGAAAGCATTTTAGGAACATCTTAGTCAAGGCTGGCAACGAATGCTGCGGTTGAAAGCGTCTTTCCGAATCAATGACATACTGCCTGATGGTCAACTTAAGTCAAACTATCTGCCAGCTAGAAGAGAGCTGCATTCAATACATGGCTTTGAAGCAAAGAGCATTCAACTGGAATGCAGTACAAAATCCGAGTAGAGTAGATTCCTTTCTAATGGTAATCTTGTCTTGTTATCCGTGACTTAAATGGATCCATTTACCATTTGTGTTCTTTAGTAGAGCTAAATCTGATCAACTTCGTAAATGTGGCCTACGTACTTTAGACATGGTCTTTACTAACTCCTCTTAAACTCGATTGCTTAGCTTTATGAACAGTTCTCGTTGCTGCAAAGTTATCATGCTTACTAAGAGTATCCAAATCAAGCAAGGGAGTGTATGGACAAATCAAACAAAAAATTTAGATCTGAGTTAATAAAGGCAAGCCCCCGCAAGAGTTCCTTTTAACGTTGTTAACGGCAGAGGACTACTGTATTCACTTCTGGAAGCTACCTGAGTTCTATTCGTTGCTACCGTAAGATCTATACTCGTTTCGTTTGTCGTGAATAAAATTGTTCTGGCATGGCAGTAACGTTGGCGATACTAATGCTGTATGCGATTTTAAGATATATTTTAGTCCTGAGCCCCAAACCACTCAATCGGAACAATTCTTATCATATATTAGTGTGGGGCAAACCTAATGATGGTTCAATGTTAAAAAGATCTGACTTTCCAAGACTTCCGTTGCTGGTCAGAATCCATTTGCAGCATCTCTGATCTCCATGTGAGTATTACTCCGAACTACACAATATCAATTGGCTTGATGAATGCTGTTCCAGTGCAAGATCAATCGAATTTCTTAGACTGATCACTTTTGAACGTTCACAAAGTTGCGGAAATACATTGAAAGCTGTGAATGCTAGCCATGACAACAGTTCAGAGAAAAAACTTAACTCTGGCATTCAATTAGCAAACATCATTTTCTTTCAGACCAATCATGGTCTTCAATGTCCATCTGACTCGTTCTCGCTGTGAGAGCGCCTCAAACACGAGTTGAAGCTTCTCCAATCTTCTCCCGTAGGCATTCATTTAGTGAATGACTGCAAGGCAGTTCATTCGGGGTGCCAAGCCTCGTGAATTATTATCGATGCCACGCAATCGTTCGTCCAGCCCAATGAATTCAGGGAAACAAAGCAGTTCGTCAGGTTGCAGCTACAAACAGGTATCGATGACGAATGGCGAGCAACCGCAGTACTAAAAGAGGTAGGAAAGGAGGAATGCTAAATAAAGGTCTGCATCATTTACAGATTATTGATCAGCAGAAGTTTTTCCTGAGACAATTGAGCATAACCGTTTCTGCATGAGATGGCCTTCAGGTATCACAGAAATATTATGCGGATAGTTTCAAACTCATATTGTCAAGTATGAATTAATAAATAAGTGACCGCTAAACTTAATGACATGCGAAAAGAGTGACAATAAGAAAACATGGAAATTCAATCAATATTAGAGACAGATTAGGGAAAACGTTGAATTAGGGAGAAAAGTTTACAAACGTGACATTAAATAAACATTCCTGGAACTGCTCAATTCCTTAAAGGCTTGTAGTTCCACTAATCTTATATTATAACAGATATTTTACTCCCCAATTTCTACTTTTCCATATCAAAAGAGAAGGCTGCGTTCAAGAAATGGTATGGAAAAAAGAGCCTTCAACTCACATGCGATATTGCAAAGCGAGAAAGACGGCAGCGAAAGCAGTTGGAACAGGCAAAGCTGATTCCTGGGAGAAGTTCGGTGAGGTGTTGGAGTCAAATCGAATTTCCACACGGCAAACAAAGTATTCTGGCAGACCATCCGCCGACTCCGAGGTGAAAAGACGGG